TATGCTGACCTACCTGCATGGCTAGCCCTACGTTCACATTCATATGACGGCCTAACAATAGCAATACAAGGAAAGGTGAAGGCACAGGTAGATGAGGAGGTTGTAATCCAGCGTTGGTCATATTCATGGCTATCCACAATTTCCAATCAAATAAATAAATAACTGAAGTAACTGCAAGTTTGCAGAAAACAGCCGTTGGCATGTTAGCAACGGACGTTCGCATGGAATTGAAGAACTGTCGGTGATGCGAAATACCGCAAATGAATGAATGAGTCAAACAATAAATGGATTTTTATAGGCGTTTGACTCGAGGAGACGTGATGTGTTCAGTGAAAGCTGCTCATGCGTTCATGTTATCTAATGAACAATAGTGTAACCGATCGAATCATTTGATTTGGATCTTAATGAAATGTTAATAAGCATCAATGAATAAGCACTATTGTTTTGCTGAATTGAAGCATTATGAAAGCAATTTTGTCATCGGCTATATAATGCTTAATGATGATATCACGCTTCATTACTCACATGCAGTGTTATGCCCTTAATGAAAGTTTGTTAGGGTTTCTTGATAAAATATGATGCGATCACAATGCATCGAGAATTATCTTAGGAAATCTGTATCACAATCAGCATCATGCCAGTTAATTTCAGTGATCACTTAATGAAGAACTGTTCGCAGCTGTACCTCACACATACTCAAAGTTTGCAGCAGCTATCATTCAAAGAAACTGAAAGTGCTGANNNCGGTTGATCAGTTCGTGAAATTATTGCAATCTGCAAAATTTAGGACGGTTGTGGTGAATGCCAAAGCTGAATTGAGTACACGATTTTCAGTTTGTTTCGGCAGATTCCGAAGCCTCAACTCAAATTTCCAAACAACTGTGGATTTTTCACAAATTAGATATAAAATAATGTAGTGTTCTTTGATTTCCTATGATTACCACTCGATACTCTGTTTCTTTTCTTACAAATTCCTAATCATCAACTTGTCATCATGTGATATTATGATCGTTCAACAATGAGCGTTCAAACTGACAACAGCAAATGTTGACCACCCAAAAGAGTTTCCAAAATAATAATTTGCAGGCGTATGCTTTGATAGATTACATAACATATAGCATGTTTTATTAAATCAAGGCGATATCATATGTGAAAATGAAAGTAAAACAATAAATATATCATGAATAAGCACATCAATGGAATGCAATTTTCTTTAACATCTATATCAGAATAATCGAAGGACGTAAGATTTCCAGATTGTTGTTCTCGTTCGAATAGTGCTGAAGATAACATGTTGGTGCATTTTGCAGGCTGAAGGAAATCTGGGCTGAAAATGAGGCTTCATTTAATGGAATAATCCTCCACATTAAGTTTTCTCTGCATTCAGATTTCTCGCATGCCGATTATCTTCGGATGAAAATGAAAAAATAGGATGCGTTGAGTTCTGCTCTNCTAATTGCGACAGGAGTGCATTTAGGCTGCATTCTTAGCTGGTTGTCAATTAGGAGGTGCATTCTTACAGAGGTAGTTTTCACATGTTGGCTTGACGATGCAGTGCTGGGACTTTTTTTATGACATTAGGTCATGCATACTGTTGTAACAAAGGAAATGAGCAGATGCTGCAATTGTCGATTTCACAAAAACTGTTCAGTGTTCAATGAGCTGATTTGTGTTGACATTTCGTTCCACCAACTCGAAAACATCTAATCATGGAGCATAAAATGTGAACTGATTCTGCACATGACTTTACTGACTCAGATTTTTGATCGCAACTACCTAATGATTTCTCGTCTACCTAATTTTGATCAGCACTCATCAGTTGGTATCTACTGAAGTCTGTAAACGAAGCAAAACTAGTTTATGCTGGTGTCGTTTGAGAATTCTTAGTCAACACATCGACTTTCTAAATCTGAGCAGGAAACGTATTGTTGTGCTTCACGCGAAATCGACAACATGCAATGCACTATTACTCACAGTTTCGTTGAGGAAATTGCATTGTTAATTTTGAAAAACTTCACACTGCACTAATACTGGATGGTTGGTGAAGTGTGAATGCGAAATAAAACAATCATACCATTATTAGTGATTATCTGATAGAGCTCTTTGTAGACGAGAATTAGCCCCACATGCCCATTCCACCCATCATGAATGGGTCATACATTCCCATACCATAGCCGCCATAGCCGCCCCAGCCTCCGTATCCTCCCAGTCCTCCCATACCGAACGGTCCCCATCCCCAGCCCCATTGTCTCTTCACTCGATTCCTGCAGGTAGGAAAAAATAAAAGTAGAAAAAATTTCGAACTTTTCAGGCTTCATTAGGTGCTCATATCTTCTCACACGCTTCGATAAATGCTCTGGATGAATGATTTAAATGTTGCGGACCGATTGAATGATTCTATCCGAAAAATTTTTTGCTGTGGCATTGAATCGTAGTGGTCGATAATTATGATATCATGACAGAGTGCATTCTATACAGTCGAGTCGTTTCCAGATAACTAGTGCTATGACTCATGCAAAGAAAGCATAATTCGATGTATTCCTCGACTGTCAACTTCAAATGTTGAATCAATTCAACTCACGCTCTCGCTCCATAGTGGCTCAATTCGGCCTGAGTCTCAGTGATAACAAGCACAGCGCACAGGAACAGAATCAGTAATGACTTCATTGCAAATGTAATTGGAATCTAAAAATCAATTTTTCAAAAAATGAGCCCTAAATTCGTCGTTTGCATCGTAAACGATGAAATATTCCAATCACCTCGTAGCATAGATGAAATATGAATAAATTTGCTCAAAAATGCATGTATGTTTCTTACGTCCAACACATGGAGGAAACGTCGGGATAGAGAAGCTGAGCTAGCTAGATCTATGAGGACAGCATTGCAACAATACATCACGACAACAGATCAACAAGGTTATCAGATTGTTATGCTGAATGATTATGGAAAT